TTTTTTTTTTTTTCTTCCTCTTCTCCGGGGACGAACTTGCAGTGGGTTTGTCAGTTTGTTTGACATTACTGCACAAGTTGCACGCAGTATGAATACTAAACAGACAGGGCTTTTTTTTTTTTTTAATTATTACTTATTAAACAGTAAAAAAAAATAAAAAGTTATTATTTTTATTAGTTCATCAGGAGGGTGTATAAATGTAGATTTATACTTTAAAAAAAGTGAGTTTTTACACTTCATTCTGTACATTTTCTGTTTATTATACATAATGAGTTCACTTTAATGTATGAGCACAAACTTTAAAGCACAGTGACAACTTTATTTCATTAAAGAAATCTTCTCTGGAGTTGTTTACTGGGAGGCGCTTCACTGTCCCTCAGGGTTTCAGCTACCATCCACTACTCTGTAATTAATTTACTCTTAATTGCTGGACTGTAACGTCACTTGTGGGACTTTCCGGTGAATTCAAGGCAGCCAGGGGTTTTAACTCTTTCCCCACTACAGTTATTTCCACTTTAAAACCCTTTATTTTCTCTCTCTCCCTCCTCTCCTCCTCCTTATACCAGCCAAGGTTGAATATGTGCATGGATGCATATGTGTCACTCCAATCAGGTGTGCACGATATATATAACCTGATATACGAGTGATCTCACCAGATTCAACCACAGCCAGTCACAATGACGCTCGCAGCCACATATGAAAGAGCCGTGCTTGCAAGAGAGAGTGAAACCTATACAAATCTTTTGTGGTCCATCGTTCCTCCTCCCGCCCTCTGCATCCATGACAGAGCAGCCATCGGCCATGTGCAGAGTCAATGTCAGGGTTGGGTTGCAATAGAAAAAGAGGTGAAGAAGAACAGAGGAGGAGGAGGAGGAGGGAGGGTAAAGAAAGGCAGCAGGGTTGGGAGAGAAGAAAAGAAGCTGTTAACAAAAAACAAAAAAAAAGTTGGAGGAGGGGGGGGTGATGGCGTGAGGAGGGGGGAGAGATTTATGGGAGACGTTTATTACTACACAGTGCTGCCCCAGGGAGGTGGGAAGAGGGGTCGGGAGAGAGAAAGAGAGGCAAAACATTCCCTTTCCCCTTCCTCTACTTTTGCCTATACAGAAGCCACACAGGGGGGTGGAGAGCTTTGTCTCACTGCTAGCAGCCGTTAAAGGAGGCAGGGGAAGTTGTTTTTCTGCACTCACATGTTGAATTTTAGTTGTATTTAGTACGAAAGACCAGATTCAAGACTTCTGATCTGAAGTTTTATTCCTTTTTTCTGAGCTTTTGAGGAAGCCACAAACCTCCTGCATGCATTAGGAGAAGTAGATACAACTTGCATGCAATCACTGAGGGAACGAGTGTGTGTGATTATGTGTGTGTATGTGTGTGTGTGTGTGTGTGTGTGTGTTTTAACATAAAAAGAGATTTTACGAGCCCGGGCTGTGTGGAGTAATCTCCCCCTGGAGTGTTTTTACAGACGACAGGGTGGGATGACAGACTTGCTGGAAATCACGTCTGCAGTTCAAAGCGCCCTGTCACCGATTGATTAAGTAGATCAGTTCGATTGTCCCTCCCTTTGAGGAATAACTACAGCAGGGAAGTAGGAGTTATATATATATATACATGCATATAAAAGCTCTACTCTTTTCAGTACAGTAAATCCACCAGCGGCTGTGATTGTCAGAGCACGTAGATCAGGGTTGAACTCTACGAGGTCAGCGGGTGTCAACAACAAGCCACTGACTCTGATGGAAATGTCTTTATTTTACTGGCCTCAAGAAGCCTCATACTCTGCAGTTGTTTACTTTAATACTCTCTCAGAGGCCTGTTTGATATTGTGTGATGCAGTTAACCTTCCAGGTTTAGGAGGAGGCACCTGTTTCCTGCCAAAAAGAAAATCTAGATAAAAAAGAAAAGAAAAAGTAGCCAGGCTGCTCTCTCAGGGGATAGTGTCAGATGTGTTTTAAACATGCACACACACACACACAGTAAGCGACACGGTGTCTTGCAGATGTTTGCACATATAGGCTCATTTTTTATTACTCTTTTATTAGGAAGTTATGTTAGTTGAAATGCATTTATTTCCAAGCAACTCCTTCCAGTCCGACAGTGTAAACAAGTTACTTCACACACAAGCAAAAAACATGCTTAATACTTCTTACATTTGTCCTATTTAGGGTATATTTATTTGTTTATTTAGAAGTCTTCAACTGTGTTTTTCCTTTATAAGCTGTCAAAAGTGCCTGAATTTCTCCACCAGGGGGGATCAATACAGGATCTTAAAATGGCATTTGGTGACAGTCTAGACTCTAGGGTGTGGGCTCGACCCCGCATGAGAATACTTACAAAACAGGATATGCAGTATTCACTCAAAGGTGACATTTGACAGTAATGCTGAAATGTAGTGTGAGAAACTACAGTAGTTTTTTCTATATATATGTATATATATATTTCTATGTATTTTTTGTCAGAAAATAGTGAAAAATGTCTCGTTTTTGTTCGACCCACAGTCACATCTTCAATGCACTGATCGATAAACGGACTAATTGTTTCCATCGCAGCTTGTAAAAAGTGAAGGTTGGAATATTTATGAGGTTTTTCCTGTCCAATCATTCCACCGACTTCCAAAGTGAACAAGCACTAAAGGAACGAACTGATCTAAGCTCCTCGGGCAGGATTTTCCACTCACTGCTGACAAGAGACGTGTTGATTTCTGAGGACTTGTGCTCCTCGAGGTCAAGGCTGTCCTCCTCCTGACTTGTAAGGCCTTATCAGTTTCTGCTGGAGCTGCGGTTAAGTCACTCCTCGGCCTTTTGCTGCACGGTTTGATTTCTGCCTCCTGTGCTGTCGACTATGATGACCCCCCCCCCTCGCCCTTTCCACAGAAGGGAGGATGGGGATGAGGCTTGAGGTCACTGATAGAGTTCAAGTGGGATGACTGGATGTTAAATTTTTATCTCACTGAGCAGGAGATGAAAGAAGTCATGGACAAACACAATAAATTGTCTGATATAGCAACAGTTTGCTGTAGTTCCCTCTTACAGCCAACAGAGGGCAGAGTTTCTTCCTTTTCTCTTGTCTCTACTTGCAGCCTTTCCTACTTACTCCCCTTTTCTTTGTACAGTATTTAAAGTGTTTCCATGTTTACCTAAAGCATGAATTTAGATTATCAGAATGGTTACACCATGAGTGAGACTTTCTAAGATTAGACAAGCAGGTCAGCGCAGTCAAACACAGCTCTTTCCTTGTGTGGCTTTGAGGTGAATTAGGACTCAGCACAAGCCTGTGTGTTGCCTGTGTGTTGTGTAATCAGCCTTTCCAATGACACACTAACTTACTGGCCTTATATGAAGCACAGAAGACTTATCAGCTACAAAACACAAATGCTCACACCAGTTGTGTGGTAATCTCATACTGTGCCGCACCACATCCCACTTAGGGCGACCACAGGCTCATTAAACGACGTATTAAAGGAGAAATAAGAAGACATTTTACTGCCTCACGGTACATCATGTATATTCTGGGGATTGATAGGGTTGTTGATAAATACCAGTGACTTAGCTGTTTGCCGCATACTGGTGTTTATGATTTCTTATAAAGTTCATTTTCCAGCTGAAGTATCAGTTTTGGAAAAAATAGTCCCCCCCCCCCA